TTTTGATTCTCCTGAATGAATTGCAAGTGATGATGCCGCTCCCTCCCTCCCAGCAAGCAGCTGCGCTGCATTCAGCTTTTGCCAACTGAGCTGAAGGTTGTCCACTTAGATGTACTGGCATGGGTAAGGAACATCCATGCACTGCGAGCAAAACCTGTAGACGAAGTCGCCACCCTCTGACCATCCACCCCCTCTCCATGCTATGATCCACTCAAAAAGGCACTGGCTCAGTCTTGCACTAAGATCGGAGTCATTTTTGCCTGGACGAGTTGAAAGGAAGCTTCACTATTAATCGGTGATGCCCCAGCTGAGCTGGCGTGATTCACTGGTGTCATCGGCGGCGAAAGAAACCTATCGTCATCTGCCTTCACTTGTTGCGTCACCCCTTCAAGACACAACTGCTCATAGCTAAAGGTATTTACCCACAATCGGAACGAATGCCACACTCCCAGTGCGAAAGAAATTAAAAGCACTGCACAAGCATGCTGCACGAAGTCTACTGTATCAAAAAAGTCAGAAAACCAAATGCAAGCTGTGCCCCATGAGAACCCCCCGTCCCGGAAGGCTCCACTGTGCCAAAAAATGTCTGTCAACCAAGAATGCAGCCATGGAACAACCTCCGGCCGTGCTGGAGCGGGCGGAAGCTCCACCACGAGGGGCGCTGTCACCTCGCGGTGCACCAAAGCGGACGGAAGGTCAAGCAACAACAAACGAAGTGTGCGCAGAACTTGCTCACGTTCCGTGTGTAAGGAGAACCCCATTTGCTCCCACACGGGGTTGGACCACCTGAGTTGGTAGAGTAAGGTGGTAGATTCAAACGCAATTCGCAGCTGGTGGTCATTGACCTTCTGCGCTGTGACCCTCAACGAAGTGAGTGACTCATTCAACTGAAGTTCCTCCGAGACGGCCTGAGTGTACGGAACCTCAGTGGTGATGGACATGGCTGCGCTTTTCAACCGGGTGACCAAAAACGGCGACAGACATGGAAAATGAACCATCGCTGCATCTGTGTTCAACCAGGCGGTCAGCGCAGGGACCGAAGATGTGATAACAGCTCCGCCACACTTGTTGGCGTAGATGTCGGTGACATCCACTCCATGCCACATGTTGGCGCTGGCATCTAGGCCATTACTGGCCGCCTGAACCATAAGAGTAGAGGCGGCTGTAGCCATGGTGCTGGAGGCGTTGATAGCAGTAATGGCGGTGGAAGTGGCCGCTTCTGAGAGATCAGCGACAGTGCCCAGAATCCGCGCTGTCTGATGGATGGGGCCATGATTTCCCGAAAGCATGGCGATGATCAACAAAAATGTGAAGCCAGAAGCCCCTTTGAAAATCCACAGGCCCCCACGCCACATGCGGCTACTCAAAGACGGACTGCGTCGGCCGCCCCGCTGGCAGCAAACGCCCCCTGCCTCGCCCCCGGCCCTTGGCGCGCTCGACAGGCGCGCTGGAGGCGTCGAGCTGGCTCTGGCCGCCGCGCCGGCGACGGTGCTGGGTTGCATCAACTGTTGCAGCTGCTCGTTGCGCCACACTTGCTTCTGGTACTTGCTCAGGCCGTCTGGCGCCTGTGGCAGCAAGTAGCGGTTCTCGCGCTTCCGAAGATCTGGGCGACGCATATCCACCTTTGGCTCCGCCGAGTTGGCGCGACTTGGACGAGGGCGCATGGGCTCCGCGAAGTGAAGGGAAATAGTCTTCAATGTGATCTTGACACCACTGTGATGCAATCAGAAGACCATGTGCTTCCACCTGAGCCTTAGTGTGAAGACTGCCAGCTACGTCTACATATGTTCTGAAACTGGTGTCCGAACGCCAACGCCCCGCCGTCTGCACTTGAGCAGGATCGTCACCGCGCAAGATTCGCGATGTGGCATATCCAGATCGCCCCGAATGCGCAGTGAGGCGCAGTGTCAAACCATAGTTCATTTCAGCAATTCCAAAAGAATTGTTGTAAGTTGAGTAGGAAAAGGAAACAGCTTCTCACCGTCCTTTGTTGCTGCAACCAACCATCTCAACAATTTGTACGCCAAAGGAAATGGTGAAGCAAACACTTGCACGAACTGCTCTCGTTTTACCTTGGTAGAATACGTGCTGCCCAAACGAATGTTAATTGCCTCTCTAAAATTCAAAGGAACAAAAACATGTGCGCAACAGATCCCCAACAACTCTGACGGTCGCAGGCCTGTAGCCATTTGTACCAGCAGCGCTGCTCCCAGCCGTTCGTGGCCTCGAGAACAATGAAACGCAGCAAACAAATAAGCGATCTCGTAGGACATGGGGATGGTGTGGTTGATGGGTTCTGCGCAGGTTCGCCCCTTGATGGCCTCACGAGTATACACAAGACGACCTTTGATAGAGGGCAAGAAAAATTCCAGAGCAGCACAAAGCTGTATGTGTTGTGATTTGGTTAACTCAAACTCCGTTCTGTACTCCATGGCCAAAAGGTCTATGTCTTCTGCCGCAAGGCTTTGCAGCTCACACTTTTGGTCCAGATAAGCCAAAAAAGGGTCGAGGTGCTTCTTATATCCAAGGAGGGTTGACTCCTTAACTCTGTTCTGTAAATCTGGGTGAAGCCGACGCATGCACGAACATACGTCAGCCACTTTCAACATTGTCGTGAACTCTCATCGGCTGGTTGTTTCCCTGACTCTACCCATGGCAGCAGCACTCGCAGGTTGCCCGCTAAGCAAACCGCGGCCTTCTGTCTGAGCAATCTGTTGAGGGGGAAGGAAGGGCTCCTACCTTTGGTCATGCTGCAGGCCGTAGGCCTATTGTCCTGTAACGAAAGCACTAACGAGCCGTGAAGCTCTGGCACCGCTGCTATTTTTCTCAAAAGCTTCACAACGGTTCTTGACTCCCCCAAAGTGATGTGTTCGCTGAAACGCCATCGTCCTGACTCAACTAAGACCCACCGTTCAGGGCAAAAAAGCTCCTCTGACAGCAAAGTAAATGGCACTGTGGGTGTCAATGCTCTGCCTGGAAACTTTGCTCCGTGCATACTGTCGAGACCGGCAATCGCTCGCCCTTCTGCATTGCTCTGGCGAAGTAGGTCCAAGGCTTCATGCTCTGTGATCTTTGTCATCACTATTCCATAGCCTCCACTGTCAAGCTCATTGGCTCCCATGGCATCCGTGGCAAAGAGCCACTGAGGGAGGGGTGAGCCAACCCGGCAAGTCATGAGTGGCACCAACCTGGCCATGGCTAGTACTTCACGACGTGCTGACGGCCACCACGTTGCCTCTTTCTCCTCTGCTTCCTCATGGAAAGTCAAAAAAGAAAACACTGCTTGCGGCACACTCAACAACTCTCTTCTGAGAAGTGCGCCAAACACCCACACGCCCACTAGCGCGTGGAGCACACGTATGCGCACCATCTTGCAGCTTGCTACAAACTTCAACGCCTCCATCAGAAGGACCATCTTCTTTATTGGAAGTCTGAATCCGGCAGGGTTGCGGATGACCTCGTAGCCAACCACTTTAGTTGCTGAGTCATTTCGCTCTTGCTGGGAAACTCCAAAACCGACTTCCTCCAGGGCAGACACTAGGCCGTCCATGATTTTGTCGCAGAAGATGGGCCCTTGACTGGCATCGGACAAGCGTACAGTGTCGTCCACATGCACATACACTGCTGACTGCAAAGGTGACAACACAACTGCCTGACGACGAACTGTCGCCTCATTTAGCAGCACGGCGCCATGACGCCGTTGTTCACACCACGTGCTCCAAGCTGTAACTCGAGGGGCTGCCACGTCCTTAGTCAGACGAAGTGCTCCTGTGGGTCCAGTGTTGGTAGCTTCGAAATGCACAAAGGTGTCAATGAACATCTTAGCGATGGCCTCACAGAGCGCTCTGGGAAAGGTTCGCCCAACGGGGGGGCCATGAGTGTGAGTGTCACTCAGCCCGGGGCACTGCGCACCATCATGCTGAATCAAACCATGCACCGTTCCAGAAAGGCAGGTCAACTTCGCCTCCGGGCCGCCATAATGGCACGGATGCAGGTGTACACGAATTGCACCAGTTCTGCGTTCCATGTTGATCATCTCCGCCGTTTGCCAAAGCGAAGGGTATGGATCAACACCTGGGTCAGCCGGATGTGCAAAGAGGTGGACACCTCCTCGACTGGATACGCCTTCGCAAAGACTCATGTAGTTAAGCCACAGGCAGTTTGCTTCCAGCACACGGGCTCGTTCCCACAGTTTCAAGTCCTCTCGCCCCCAAAAGCAATGTCTAAATCGCAGAGGTCTAGGCCCATTGGTCAGTGGGACATGTCTTGAACTCGCCACCGTTGAGCACGGTGGCTCGCCTAAAACGCCATCTACAAGGCCTTCTTCCACAAGCTGGTAAAGCGCATGGAACGTGCATGGGATGGTCAGATCCCAACGGTGGTCTGTAGCCAGGTCAATGGAAATGTACATCAGCTGTAAGCCTTTCGCTTCTGCCAACTTTTGAGCAAACTCTTCAACATCTCCATCTTGCCTCCTACCCGCAAAGAAGTGCATCCAGACGAACACCCTGTGCCCCTGTCGTTTGGTGGCTCTTACCGCATCACACCACTGGCTCACCGTGAAACCGGCGGCCACATTGTCAACTGCCTGCTTACGAATATCTTGCCTGCGTTTCCAAGCTGAGTCCGAGATCATGTCCTTGCAGAACTCCTCTACAATACTTTTGTCGCAAGCAGATGGGTGCAAAACAGTCGTTTCCTCATCGTTTACTCTGCCTATGTATTGAAACAATGCTCTACCGATGTGTTCCAAGTTGATTCTCATCAAAATGTAAACAGAATGAGAACCTCCCATTGCAAGCCGCAAGTATCTTGGAGAAACGAACTCGAGCAACGGATCAGTGATTTCACTCTTGAGATCTGGCGGCAACAAATGCCACACCTTTGCTGCGCGCACCGGAGGCCCGCCTTGCCACCTAGTCATCCACTCTGGCACCCTAACAAAAGTAAAAGCAGAATCTTCGTCGCAGATTGAGACACCCAATTTACCAGAAGGCACATAGCACCGTGACAGAGCTCCCCCGCCATCCATGCCCAAGTGCGCTCTGCTTGAAGGGTCGACCATCATGTAGTTGGCAGCGACTTGCATGATTAGCTTTCTCTGCTGTTCAGGGTTTTTCTTTGGAACGGCGGACACGCCAGCAATAGCTCTTATGTTGCGCATGTGGTCCCATTGCCAAAGGTGCTGCACATCATCCCGCTCCAGGTATTTGAGGTACTCCTGTTCAGAGCCCCCGATAAACCCGTAGTGAGATTCTAGCTCTTTGAACATGGACTCGGACTTGCCTTCTACATCAATGACATTGCTTTCATGCTCATAAAAACAAGCGTCTTCTGCTGGAAGGGCTGCAAGCATGTCAATGGCTCTAGTGTCCGGAGGTTCCACAAGCCTTGCTGCCTCAAGAGGCACCTGTTTTACTTTGCAGAAGTTCATATAACCAAGATCATCGACTGGCTGCTTCAAAAGGGATGCCACTGCTCGCGAAGACTGGACGCCTGTCAAGCCACAGCTCCGGCGTTCCCGCGCTATTGCAGATGCCTCACTGAGGAGGCGTTGCACAACGTGAGTCCTGGCAGCCGTAGCCTTCACTCGGCCAAATCTTGCTGCTTCAGGCGATGTCAGCTTGGTGTCAACTTCACCATAGTTCAGAGCGTTGATGGTATTGACGAGCCCGCACGCTACTCTCCACACCTGCAAACGATGCTTTTGTCGAGTGCGCAAACGAGCTGAGCGATGTCGCTTCCATTCCGGCCGCTCTGGAGTTGGCAATGGTAGGAGAGCAAAACCATCGAGTCTCCTTTTGAATTCCTCTGCCTCTGTCTCGGTCACGCAACAAGAGGCAGGATGTGTGACCTGCTCATGCACTGCGGTGACCCCCTCCCGCGGCAGGTCGGTCGCGGGAGAGGGCTTCTGAGGTCGTCACCCTTGAGTCTTGTGGGAGGTCTGCGCCCCCCCACGACCCTTGCCGCCTCCTTTGGAACCAGATCCACGTCCTCTGAACTTACCCGCATACTTGATGGCATGCTGCGAAGACGACTGCTGACTTCCATGTTCCTGCTTGGACATCCTATTTCCTCTCTCGGTCCTCTGCCATTCGAGCTTGGAGTGAGAGTTGGCGTCGTCCAGCAGCCATTTTGGTGCTATGTCAGCATTTGCTCCAGGTGCACGCACACCCAACATGCGGTTTGCGCCTGTGCGGTCCTTGGTGCGTCTGTAGTAGACGTATGCACCTAGCTTTCTCAACTGGATCTCTAAAGTGTCTGAGGTGCCAAGGCGATGCATGATGGCCGCCTCACTCTTGCAATCTGCTAGCTCAAAATCAACGATAGTGGCAGCCGTGAAAAGGTCTTGGTACCCAGATGACTGCTTCAACTCCAGCGTAGGGTGCTGGTCATTGACCCATTGCCGCACTGAGCTGCATCCTTCTGAACGAATGTTGCGATACAGCTCAGGCGCAGCGCGCTGCAAATCTGCTGGCAAACGGAGGTGCCACGCCATCTGTTCTGGGTTCCCCCCTGTTCCTACATCTGCCACACGTGCGAATGCTCCTCCACTACCATGAGTTGGCCCACCAAGAGTCTCAAGCTCTTGCAAAGACTTCTTCAGTTCCTCAGTGCGTGGTGGACTGAGAGTTCCGTCCCCTACATACCCGTGAGACTCAAGCACAGACTGTACTTCTGGCTCTAACTGATAGATGTCCTTTTCGTTCTTGACTGCCTGCCAAAACAACGCGCCCCAACTAGGCGTGGTGGCTGACAAAGCTGCTGCCTTAGTGACTGCATCCTTCAATCTGCATGCCTGGGTTTGCAACTTGGATGGTGGGCTAGAAAGGCTAAAAGGTGCATACACTGAGTCTCTAGAAATTGTATCGTTGACACCGGGTGAACCCAAAAAAGTGGAGACGGCATGTTTAGGCATTTGCTGCAAAGTCAAACCACTGTCTAAACAAATGGTCACACCATCGGCTCGATGCTCAACGACCTTTCCGCACTGCCCAGTGAGTGCTTCGTACGGCGCAACGTGCAACACACGAACTCTAGTACCTGGGATATATGGCTCTATCTCTACAGGCTGACTAACCCTACTCGGCTCCCCACTAGACAAACCTGGAGGCTCACCAACTGGCACTTGAGGGACGCCCGGTGGAGGCATCACTGCGGTAGCCGAAACAGGCTGCACTGCTGGATCTATAACCTCCAAATGAGGCATGTCCAGTTCGGTCCATTTGCCTTGGCGCCCTGGGGTAGTTCTCACGGGGGGGCTAGGTGCACTAAGACCAAAGCATGGCAAGCTAGACCAACCCAGATACCACAGAGCAGAACCTAAACCAAGGAGAACTATGCCGAAAGAAGCTGCATACACGCGAAAGCGTCCGGATGGAATCCATGGGTCCATGGCCAATGCGATCAAGCCTAGGATCCAACACTTCCAGTGCAGTGTTCCTGAGCTAACCTGTCGAGTTGTTCCGGTCGGTGTGCCCATGGCCTCTGCCGGGCTCAGGCTGGACACTACCTCTGACCAAGCTTCAACGTCACTAGTAATCAAAGGAAATGCTTCAGCTGACTGCGTTCTGGAAACAGCTGATGTGTACAGGTTCCAAGCTAATTCAGATCGGACCTCAGCTGACAATTGCGGCAGGCTGGGCTCTCGTGCTATCCAAGAGAGAATTGGCATCAAACATCTGCCCAATCCGGCATGCTGCAAAGGAAAAGTCTCGGCTTTCCCATTCGTCCTGATTCGGTTCCTCGTTGTGAGGAGCACCTCCTCCAATCCTTCCAGGTCCTGAGTGGCCCCTCCGGCCTGAGCTACAGCAGAAATCGCGTCTGCCAGCGCTTGCTGCGAAAGCAAAGCCATGGGAAACAACCGCACCGGGATACCTAGCACCAGCTCATGGTGCCCGAGTAAAATCTTGACCCACAAAAAACTAGAATGTTCGAATATGGTGAACAGCTTGCATTCAACGGACACAAAAAGCACATTCCACGGAATTTACAA